GTAGACAATGCTAACCTCAACAGACTTTATAGAAACCAGTGGAGAAACTATGTTTAGCCAGGCGGTGAGTGAGAAGGTCCACTAGATCACCACATCCCTGTGAATGAGTTCGCCGAAAATGGAACAGCTAGAATTGCTAGAACTCAACTCGATAATATCGATATACTAGATGCGATAACACCGCGAAACACAGCTCTTAATTTTTTATGCTGGGGAGCAATTACCCCGACAAGACCAAGAGAACTTCAGGCCCGGCCCGTTGGAACCCCGAGCGCAGAGAATTCTGGCCGCCGATTCAAGGGACGATGCCTCGCAACGGACACAAGCCGGGGAGGCTGTCGATATAGCCACCCGAGAAACGATCTGTCAAATTTGCGGATCCCAAGGTCACTATGAGTCGAACTGCACCCAGCCTTGCCGCTACTGCGGCACAGATGAGCATTGTGGCAGGGACTGTAGTCAGTCCAGTATGGCCTGTCTCTGCGCGAAATATCCTCGTCACTTGGTCCATGAATGCTCTATTGTCTGCCGCTGGTGTTTCTATACGTCCGGTGCACGGCACCCTGCAATGACGTGCGACATCAGATGTTGTATGTGTAATCAGCATCTCTCAGCAGAACATCGTCATGAGTCTGGCCGTCTTCTTGGCGATGCGAGCACGCGCATAGCATGTCATGACAGACGATGTCACCTCTGCAATGGCCCACATCTCACACAAGATTGTGAAAAAAGGTTGTGTGCTGTCGAATGAACCGCAGTCATCGCTCGGTACTGGCGCACGAACTGGACGGGATACGCGAGAAGACAAGAACCAGGCTTAAAGAAGAGCTCAGTAAATGGCTGCAAGCTTCAAATCGAGCGGGACCCTGTCTCTGGGGAAGTGCCATGCACGCTTCCAGAATGCAACCAATAATGGGACGACCTTTTCGAAAATGGAACCGGAATCTATGAGGAGCAAAGACCAGGCATACCACGACTTGTTCGTGGTGCTGCTTCGTGGTGCTGCTTTAGAACTAGATGTCACTGTCTTTGAATCGCATTAAAAGGACAGTTCACTTGTCTAATTCCCTCTAAAGTGGATGCCAATAAGTTAAGCAGGTTAATAAACACATAAAAACCTGAAGATACAGTCTCAGTCGTCCTTTTATCCATTATGTAGTGCGTTCGATGCTCTGTAAGATTGTGGACACTAGAATACCTTATTGAGATCCCAAGACAATGATGCCTCGCGCTTCCATTTGTGCTCCTCGGTGACCATAACCAAAGGGTACCCAATGAGATATGCCTTGTAATTCATCTTCAAAAATAGAATCGCTGATGACAAGTGCCAAGAAATGTCTGGATAGGTTGCATGTGCCTTTTACCCCTTCAAGGTCTTCAGCTCCGAGCAATATCGGCAAGATCGCCATCCCCAGACCGTTGTGTGGGAGGATTCTTAATGCGTCTACAGCGATTGGCCAGCGCATATAAGTGAGAATGCGGGGAAGCACACCCCAGGTTACGCTAAAATTGCAGTGCGCCCAGACTCCCGAGACGAGATCGCGTGGCTCGCTCCAATGAGAAGAGGTGGCCACGCACGGATTGGAGCGATGTAGAAAGGGCACCTCCGGCATCGATGTCATTGATTCGCGGTGAGGGGTATGAGCAATCCGGGTTGGGACTGTATTTAGCAAAGCCCCTGTAGCGCAACTCAGCAGCGCCGCCATCCTTAATCCAACCTCACTCCTCTTCATTCACTTCATGCCCAAAAACGGGTAAATAATTGCCGTGTCACGATCGTATCAAGTGCGCGCCGGTGTTTTCTTAAGATGATTGTTTTACATTCATGTGTAGGCACCTCTAGCCTAACTGAAGAAGATAGGTAGGGATGGTACATGCGGGTTTGATCTCGCAAGCCGCTCGAGGGCGACATCGCCGGAGATCATGGGAATCTTGCGTCTTCTATCTCTTTCATACTCTAAACAGGCCCTTCCTAGATGCAACCCCTCTATGGTCTGTCCTCTAGGATGAGCACGCATTGCTGCACTCGCTCTCGCTCTCATGTCTGGCTTGCCACCGGCTTACTCATCCAGGTTCTTCAGGACCCATCTCTGGTCCTCGCTCTGGGAGAAGGGTACGCCGAGCTCAAACAGCTTTACGATAACGTTGCTGAAGTCCTTGAAGAACAGGTCGTTGTCCTTGGCATAGGCCTCGACGTACTTCTTGAAGCTCTTGTCCTGAGTCAGGGCCATATCGGCCGGCAGCATCATGATGGACTTGCTCGGCTTGTCGACGAACTGCTTGGGGCCGTCCCACTTCTTGTACTCCCACTTTGTATCGAGCAGGAGCTTATAGTAGTCGTTGGTCAGAACAGTGGGGGAGAAGGTCCAGGGACCATCGTAGCCGCTTCGGTCAGTGTGGCAGCGACCCAGGGCGTGTGCGCCAGCGAGAGCGACAATCTCCTGGTCGTTGAAACCCATGCGGTAGAAGATGTTGCGGAGATGGTCGTAACCCTGGGCAGCGTCGGGCAGACGGCCGTCAGGGGTGCAGCCAGAGACATCCTTGTCTGTTCGTCCTGGGCGGTAAGGGATCTTGGGACCAAGCATCTCCTGGACGGCAGCGACACCACCAAGAATCCAGAGATCAGAATAGGTGATCCAAGGGAACTTTTCTGTGGGAATTGTCAGCCAATTGGTCGGAAAGTGTCACTCCGGGAGCGACTACAGGAGCATTATTAAGCAATAATGTCTGTTGCCGCCACCGCAGGGCTTTGTGTTACTTACGCTTCACAGGCTCGAGGAACTCTCGTGCGATCTTCAGACCAGCATTGGCGCCGTGGTCAGACTCCGGGGCGAAACGCATGGTGGCGCCGTTGCTACCACCAGTGCCAGTCTCCTTATCGAAGGTACCGCTGCAGTGCCAGGCCAGACGCAGCAGGACGGGGCCATAGCTGCCATCGTCATAGTCGTCCTTCTCCTCCAATCGCTTGGCGATCTCGTTGTACACCTGCTGGTAGTCCTCCTGCTTGGGGGTGAAGACCTTGGGGGCGACAGAGCCACTCTGCTGGATGTAGTAGTAGAGACCAGCGCCACCGGCGGCAGCAGCACCGGCGATCCAGATGAGGGACGAGCTGGACTTCTTGGAGGGCTCAGAAGAGTAGAATCGGCGGCCCTGTTGACGGAAGGCGGTGCGCGGGGCGGCGACGAAGGCGTTGCGGGTGGTGGTGCGCATGGCCGCACGGGCGAACTGGCGGGTTGAGGAGGCCATCTATACCGGACATCAATATCAGCGACAACAAGACTGGGAGTGCGCGAGGAGGACAAAAAAGGGCTATATAATTAGGATTGGAGCTTACCTTGACTCGCGGAGATGTCAGGAAACGGGAGAAGAAGTGCAAGGGAAGGGAAAAGGGTTGCAAGATCAACAAGGAGGGTATTCAGAGAATCAAAAGAGAGAATGAGAAGGATCTCAGATCAGGAAGGCAGGCGGCTCAATACACCCTCCGCCGAAGCTGGGGGAGGGACACCGAGGGAGAAAGGTCGGGAACTTGTGGAAGGGCACAGAAGAGTGACAATAGGAAGACGACTATTGGCTGGAGCTGTGCGTTAGGGGACTTAGGGGACCCAGATGCCAGTGGTAGTCTTGAATCAAGTCAAAACGGGGCCAGGACAGGACAGGGGGCGGTAGCGTGTTGTAGCGCTCACTGGGGGAAGCCGAACACTTTGAGCTAAGGACGTCGCCGAGATAGCCACTACTCGTATGAGAATGGGGCACGCTTCGAAACACAGGGCGGTGATGGCCGGCAAGCCACATCCGCGGCACGTAGAGTAGACACGCGGGTTGGACCCTTGGATTAAATACGACTTTAATTGCTTCTTCTCAGCACAATTTAACTCTCTCACTAATGACATGAAGAGGCGCTCTCGGGTTTTGGGGGCAACATTGATTGAAACACCAGGGAGAATTCGGGATTTGCTGGGGGGTTGAGTCAAAATGCCCGATCCGTCGTCCGGGGGTTACGGCGTATATCGCACGCACTAACTTGCCTTGCCTGCCTTACGCCCTACTGTACTATACTGTACTATGCAGTACCTAAGTAGCCTGCCTTTTGATAGAGCCACTATCCCCAGTCAGTGGAAATGCGATTGCGAAAAGAGCAATGCAGCACTGCAAAATGCATCTCCGGCGCATTTACGAGATGTCGCCATTGACAGTCTCAAGGCATCAGCATGTGGAAGATTTCTGATTTCCGGTATCCCTCCCGCAACCTACCTAGGAAGAAACTGTTCGCCGATTACGGGCATTCTGCCGGCTTCCAAGAAGTTTCAGCTGCCCGCCATCCGGCAACTGGGCACGCTATTCTCGTAGCCACGTGCTTACGTGTCTATGTCAAAGTCGCCGTCCATCCAACGCGACTCCATCCAGGGCCGTCCCCTCGTGGCCTGGATGTCGGTTTGCTTCTTGCTGGACCGAACCTCGAGCCGAGATCTCTCCGAACTGCCTCTTAGATTTCGCCGTTTGGTTTTGGTCTACCTTCCGCCCCTCCAAACTACCCTAAATGGCTGTCCCACTTTTCCCTTTTATAACCACCATACTAGAGTCTGGGCGAATGACTGAATCGCAGTATGGACATGACAAATTCGCGGCACATCTCTCATGGGGATCCTCCGGCGTTGAGATGGCGACCTCTATTCATAGTACACAACTTGCCATAGCACGACTGCCTATGGTTCTTGCCACCTAAAAATGAGTCTATCCATCCCCGGAGAGGTGACGACATCGATTAGACATATCTGACATCAAAATCTGCCCGTGCAATCTTCGTGTGGCAGACATGTACGTGCGCCCATCTCTGGACTCACAATGTTCGTAATTACGCAGGCACCAGTAGCGAGCACAAAGCCGTTCTCTTATTTTTTGGGTTGCTATTTGCTTATGTGCAGGAAGCTCCTATACTCAGAGTCTGCCAGGTCATGTATTCCTGTCCTACGCCTGCCTACCACCATCCTTCACAGTCTGAGGAGGAATTTGCAATGAATCTAAGTGACACCAGTCCGCCGTCCAGCCCAATCCAAACCAGAGGGTTTGAAGGAGAAAAAAGAAGAGTATGTTACAAAGTGCGGCATCCCATTAGTCACATGCCGAATATGCGCAATCAGGAAGAGGGTATAGATCGGTGCCCGAGACAAGTTGGCTTTTCTGTTTTTCGGGTTTATCAATGGAAGTCGGCAGGGCCCTGCGCATTCGGATCCGGCTCGACGAATTGCTCGTAGTAGGTGTAGTACCTAGCTTCCGCCTTCTGGCGAGTGACATCGTCGAGATCTGCCAGAGCTATGCCGTTCTCTTTGACGCCCAACGTGGACTTGGACAGAACAGAGATGGATGGTGGCCTAAATGAAAGCTGTCAGTTTGGTCTTCATAGCCCTGAAAGGGGCTGACTTACCCAAACATCTCACGGTCGATGAGCAGGAATTGCTTCATGGCTTCCTTGCCCCCACGTTGTTGGAGGTACGAAAGGTAAACCTCATAAAGCTCCTTCTTGGTTGCCGCAGACATACGGCTTCTGGTGCGCATCTCATCAAACACGGTCTTGATGCGCTCACTATGCTCAGCCTCCTGCTCAATGCTGGTGGGCTGTGCCAGCTCAAAGTCGAGCCACTTCTGCCAGAAATGTCGACTATCAGCATACCACTGCACGTTCTTCAAGAAGACAGTCCGCGCCTCATCCACGGAGCCCTTGACTGTCCACAGCAGGTTGGCCCATTCAGTGACGAGCGCTGCCTTGGTGAAAATGTCTACCTCGGGCGAATCAATCTGTGCTTTGTACACCTCGATCGCGGCTTCCAGTCCACTCTGGCGTCGCTCCAGGTTACCCCAGGACACGATAGCCTCGACGCAGTTGGGGAGCTTGAGGAGAACAGCTTCGTGAATTGCACGAGCAACGTCCACGCGCCCACACATCTCCTCAAAATAGGCAAACTGCAACCTGATCCCAGGCCTGCTGATGGGCACGAAGAGAGTGGCGCCACGGAGGTAGATGTTACGGACCTCCTCTTCCTTGTTCTCTTGCGCTAGCATCCACCTGGCATATCGGAACCAGAATTCATCGTAAAAGGCGCAAGTTACTAGGCATCGCTCGTATAGTGACGTGACGCGTGAGATGTCACCCTCAGCCTCTTCAAAATCCAGATACTTGCGCCAATTAACAAGCTGCTGACTCTCGAGCTCTGTGACATGGAAGTAGGGTCGCTTGATCTCTGATTCGTAGGTCCATCTCTTCGTCGTTTCGGTCTGTGTCTTCTGGAAAACCTCGTAGAACATAGCATCGATTTTGGCGCGAATGTCACGCTCGACTTCCAGCTCAGTTTTGACCACTCCATAAGGCGCGGCTTCGGCCTCAGTCTCAGCACGGAATTGAGAAACAATATCGGCAGTAACCAGTTCGGATAAAGGTCGAAGATGCGACTGAGTGCGGAACTTCTCGTAGTATCGCGCATATTGATGCATGGGGATATGGATAACACGCGAAAGAATCGCAAAGACCTTCTCCGGTGCTTCCTGTCGTTCCTCATATTCTATGTACTTGTCCCAGAAAGGATGGGCTAGGAAGTCAAGGCCAACGAACAGGGCAGCTCTCTCGAAAAGTCTACAAAACGTCAGCATCCTAGCACAATGGGAAGAGGTGGGGGAATTGGATGGGGTGGAAGGACAGCAAATACAGGAAGGAATCTTTGTGTGAAAGTTAACAAGTCCATTTCCCAAAGCAATCGAGTAACAGCTCATGTCTTGAGGTACGACGTGTAAGCGGAGGGAAAGCTCATGGCGGAGAATGATGTCTGGTCAGGGGGAAACAACAGAGCCTGGTAGATAGTGTGAGACGCAGTCCAGCGTGGTAAGGCTACCGTTGGTACATCTCACCGTGGGACTCAGGTGGTAGTCATGTTCATGCTGTTGAGTTCTTGGTGGTCTCGGCCGGCGGCCACAGGTAGGTCGTGGTACGCTGTGCGGTCGAGGTGGTTATGGGGAAGGAAATCATCCACAGTCTACTTACTCTCTCACAAGCTGTGGCACATGTGTCGTCTCCATTTTGAAGGAGCAATAATCTGTCCAAAGATCGACCGAGTTCGTGATGCTAGCGCATCCGCGCTCGTAAACCATCTCAGCCGACTCAGGGCCAGAAATGTTGAACTCGAGATCCGCATACTTCTTCCAGTATCCGAAAAGTAGAGGAAACTTGAGTAGGAATCGATCGTATGAGTCGCGTAAGGTAGCAAGTGCTTGCGGGCTCGAGTTGCGATTTAGGCCGCCCTCCAAAGCCTCGCAGGCGCGCACCAACTTCTCCCAATGCTCGAAGTTGTCGGGATCGGCTTCCTGTAAGTGACGAAGCATGATCAGCACTGCTCGAGGCCATGTTTCGTCACGCATAAGGCAACATGCTGTAACTTACCACCTCAAGATTTAGCTTCCTGATCTCAGCATTCTCCTCGTCGGAGCCGCCAAAATTGCCGAAGTCGCTCATTCTGCCAGACAGCAGTCGGACGGTGCTGGAAGATCTCACAGGAGCGGCGCAATATCAAAGAAGCAACAAGATCCCCAAACCCGAGATAATAATAATGCTAGAGAGTTGGCCGATAAGTTGGACGCGGCTGTAGAGGGGAGGAGGATGGAGGAGGGTCTGTAAAGAGGGAGGTTGGAGGCACAGAAAATGCTGATGGGGACGTGGTGGATTCGCGGCGACGAGTCAATGAGATGCGCGGAGCTTAAATTCGCTCCTAGCTCCAAAGTACCTACACGTAGAAGCTACAATGGGCACGGGCATCAGAGTGCCTAGCAGCAATCTTTGCGCTAAATTTACCAGCTGAACGGCAAGGGGCGGCGCAGTTCTATAGAGGTGGTGGATGGCCCGTTTTGGGGGCCTGAGGCTGTGTCTTAGGTAAGCCAGCCTGCAGCAAAACTGATCTCTTCTTGCAGATCCACAAACTCGTCTCTCCTTCTTCTCTTTCTTCATGAGCTTATGATGATTCACATAAAACAAACACATGATAGGAAGAGGCTGAACGCCCCCTGTTTATAGGGAGCATGATCTCAAATTTTATGTAATAAATCTGAAGCTCGGTCCCACGCATCCATCGCATTGTGGCCATGCGATCGAAATTATCCCCCGTGGAAAATCTCGTTTCATCTTTCTTCATCCCAAGCCACCCCCAGATTCCCGATTCTTGTAGCCCCTGAGCTGACGATGGCCTTTCCATTTCAAAAGGGCCGATACTAGAGGAGCAGAACAAGCGTTCGCTTCTGATCCAGCGGCACCGTCGTCATATGCGACGCGCTTCCAAAGCGTTAGCTAATGCATCTGCCAGGATACTTGCCATGTCTGTCTGCAGCAGACTCAAAGCCTATCAATGCCCCTGACTTGAGAGCTGCCTAGACAAGACATAACAAGGCTGTGTCCATGTCATTCTCCAGCCTTCCGGTACTGCCCTTCGTCATGGGACTATGGCCTTGAAGGACAGCCATGAAGAATGCTCGCCAAGACTAAATAAGATTGTACACGCATTTCTCATGACGGACTGTCGTCTCTGTGGCCACGCATTTTATTTCCTGCAGCCGTTCCACATATAAGCAGCTTTTCAAAGCATTGAAGATACAATATAGCTATAAACGTTCTGTCGAAGGTCATTTTGTGGGTGGTTTCCATGACTATAATACGGATTAGTGTGTATTTTCGGTGAATTCGATCGTTAATCTTTGACCTTGAAGAGAGTGGCGCAGGTCGCTACGATATTTCGATGTAGGAGCGGGCAGTCCAAGGAGTCATGTGGTACAAGTATATGTCCTCCTCCGCGATGTAGGTAATACACAAGGCATAGGAAGTCTGAGAGGGATGTCTCCAACCAAAGTATATATGGTATATAGCTTGCCTAGATACATTTGTCTGGTTGAGGTGGCTTGAAGCTTGAGAATAGATCAATTGACAAACAACTGGAAGCTTTTGTTCAACTCTATACGTATGCGAAAGCCTTGCCGTTGCCATAATAGCTACCTAAGAAGGAGACAGCACCTAGGTTATCGTGTGCCCAATTGTAATTCTACCGTTTGCTGAGCTGTAGCCATCGCTGGCCATGGCTTGCCCCGCGATGGCCACCGCTTCAGAGGTCAGAAGAACTAAAAGAGCACCCGGAGCACGGGCCAATAGCGATGTCATCGCCTATGATGGCGCTGCTCTCCTCCCCACAAACGACCTACATTGAACAATCGCAATCACAATCTCTAGCATCAGCTAAAATTCCTTACCAGCGTCATCCGACAGGATCTCATGCTATTGCGAGATGGAGTACTAAGCTGGATCGTCTTTCTTTTGCTAGGGCCTCCGCCTGGTCAAGAAATGTACCTCCCACCGCCACTTCAACATCAACTTCCCCGGCCGAACCGTCAGCATGGACCTTAACTCGGCACTCTGGAGTGGCCAGGCGCCATCACCGGAGAAGTCCAGTCAGCTACTGATTCGCGAGTACCCTCATCGGTCAATAGCAATTGTATCACGCGACCATGCCCTCATCTTCCGGCACAGCTCTACGACAACCGAAGCGATTGCGAACGGCTCTCTGACCTCGGTTGCGTCCGCTCGGCCTCGTGCTAATACGGGAGATCGGGACACCTTTGCTTCCAAGTGTATGGTGGAATTCACGGCCGTTACCAAGAATACACTCAGCGACTACCGACCATTGACACATCGCCCGATATACGGAACGTTGGGGCTCATGTCCGTAAACAGAGACGTCTTTCTGTGTGTTATCACACATGCATCCAGGGTAGCTACACTGAGACCGGGAGAGACTATTGAGAGAATTCTCAGTGTAGAATTCTACGGCCTGAACACATCCGACTACGACAATGTGTTCTCTATCGATCCTTATGAGCTGGAAACGTCCGATAACTCATCGGTATATGGCCAGAATCTAAATCGGAGAGACGTACAAGTGGAACATCCTTGTCAAGAATTGCAGAAGCTCTTAAGCAACGGCAGCTTCTATTATAGCACCGACTTTGATCTTACGAACCGACTACAAGATAGGCCTCCAGATGCAGACACTTTCGACATTGACAATTTTGACGACACCTTTCTTTGGAACTCATACATGATTGGCCCTCTTGTTCAATTCCGTTCCCGACTCATGCCACATGAAAGAGAAACTCTGGACGCATCAAGGATATTGACTTCCGCCACTCGAGGGTTCTGTCTATCCATGACCATTCCACAGTCCTCGGCGCCCTTGAGAGCTGCTAAATCGGGAATGCCATCATATCTTACTGTGATTTCACGTTTATCATGTCGCCGAGCTGGAACGAGATTCAACTCTCGTGGTATTGATGACGATGGAAATGTGGCCAACTTCGTTGAGACTGAGACTATATATTGGAGCCCATCAGGGGTAATCTTCTCTTACGCTCAAGTTCGCGGTTCAGTTCCAGTCTTCTGGGAGCAAGCTGCAGGTCTTATTCCTGGACATCAAAAGATCACCGTTACTCGGTCAGCTGACGGAACGCAACCGGCATTCAACAAGCATTTCGAAGATCTAGAACACAATTATGGTGCCGTCCATGTGATAAACCTCTTGAGTGAGACAAAACCAGGCGAGGCAGAGTTGACATCACTATTTCGGTATGGCATCCAGCATTGCCCCCTAAGCCGACCGGGTGAAAAGCAAGAACACGCATTGCTGAGAGAGACCGAATACGACTTCCATGCAGAGACGAAAGGCCCTATGGGCTACGAGGCTGCCCGAGAAATTCGTCGGTATATAGAGGATTCTGCGGACGGGTTTGCCTACTATCTCGCAGAGGAAGCGGACGATTCCGCTGATGGAGTTACTGGGCAGAACCTGAGCCATCATCGATATATTGTCGTCCTGCAACAAGAAGGTGTTTTTCGTACAAACTGTCTGGATTGCCTTGATAGAACGAATCTCATCCAGACCATAATATCACAGATGGCGGTCGAGGCTTTCCTCGGCCATCGCGGAGAATACGCACCATCTGACTTCTGGATGAGGCATTCAAGCCTCTGGGCCGATAATGGAGATGCTCTTTCGCGGATTTACGCTGGCACCGGAGCATTGAAGTCATCGTTCACCCGCCATGGCAAGATGTCTCTCGCCGGAGCTATTGCGGATGCGAGAAAGTCTGCGACAAGACTTTATATAAACAATTTCACCGATAAACAGAGACAAAACACCATCGACACCCTACTTGGAAGATTAGTTGGCCAGGCGCCAGTAGCTCTCTATGACCCCATCAATGACTATGTGGCGAGTGAGCTGAATAGACGCAGCTCCGAATTCTCCTCTACAGAGACCATCAACATGTAAGTTATCTGGCACTCGCAAGCGGAATATCACTGACAAATATAGATGGGTCGGTACTTTCAATCTTAATGGCCGTACCAATGGCATAGAAGAGGACCTATCTCCCTGGCTATGTCCTAACGAGCTAGGAGCGACACAGCCAGAGATCGTCGTTGTAGGGTTTCAGGAGATTGTAGAGTTGAGTCCGCAACAGATCATGAACAGCGACCCGACTAGGAAACAGATGTGGGAAAGGTCTGTCAGGAAAAACCTTAACAATCGCGCTCGCCAGATTGGGGGGGAGAACTATGTCCTGCTTCGAAGTGGACAACTTGTCGGTGCAGCTTTATGCATCTTTGTCAAAGCCTCAGCATTACACAATATCAAGAACGTTGAGGGAAGCGTCAAAAAGACGGGTCTGTCCGGTATGGCAGGCAACAAGGGTGCTGTCGCTATAAGGTTCGACTATGCAAATACGCAGCTTTGTTTCGTCACTGCCCATCTTGCTGCCGGCTTCGCCAATTACGATGAACGTAACAAGGACTATGCAACAATTCATCATGGGCTGCGCTTCCAGAGGAATAGGGGCATTGACGACCATGGTAAGCTGTTTTGTCATCAAATTTTGGATCCCTGCTGATAAGTCAAGATACTGTCATCTGGCTCGGCGATTTCAATTACCGCATTGGCTTGAGCCTTGAAAAGACAAAGGAGCTGGTCAAGAAGCGCGATCTCGAGAGGATGTACGAGAACGACCAGGTAAGATGCCACGTAAAATATGTTTTTCGATCATGACTAATTCGATTGACAAAGCTAAATCTCCAAATGGTTGCCGGGCTAGCATTCCCCTTTTACTCTGAGGCTCGAATTACCTTCATGCCTACTTACAAATTCGATCTTGGACGAGATGAATACGACTCTTCGTAGGTGCACAAGTCGATGGTATTAGATGTCCTCTCTATTGACAACACCTAGTGAGAAAGCCCGTATTCCTGCTTGGACCGATCGAATACTGCGAAAAGGTTCAAACATCCGACAGCTGGCGTACAATTCTGCGCCTCTTAGATTTTCGGATCATCGGCCAGTATACGCGACCTTTGAATGCACTGTCAATATCGTAGACGAAGAGCTGCGTGATAAGATCAGCCGTGAGATCTATCTACGACGAAAGGCTGAGGTTGGGGATGCAGCAGCGACCCTGAATGCGGAAGACAGCGATGATGAAGACCTCATTGGCTATGATGCTATCGAGCCTGGTCTCCCACCGGCCAGTTCTGATCAACAAAAATGGTGGTTAGAAAATGGCAAGATGGCACGGTCTGTTGTTGCTCCACCAAAGCCCTCAAATGGGACACATTCGACCATTCTCAACCCAAATCGGCCACCGAACCCCTGGACTCCTTCTGAGGAACCAGATTGGGTCACTGTGCCCCGATCAGAGTCCAGGTTATCATCGTTCTCTAGCATGTCCAGCTCTCCCTACGAGCACATCACACCTTCATCCCTGCTTTCAACCTCGGCATCAAGCACCGCCCCAAGAAAACTTCCACCTCCTTATGACCCAGCAGCTCTACCTGCTAAAGTCGGGCGACTAGCTTTGACTAATGAACAAGAACAATCTGCGCCGATAAGGCAAGAAACTCCTCCAGCGCCTCCTCCAAGACGACAAACCGGTGGTCCATCGAAAACACAAATATTACCGCCGCCACTTACCTCCCAACCAGCGACTTCTGTGGCACGATCCGTCACACCTAAAGTGGCACCAACTCCTCCTCCCCCTCGACCAAGCTCATCCGCTTCCCAGAAGACTGGCAAAGCACCTCCACCGGTGGCAAAGAAGCCGGCACATCTAGCTCTATCTCCATCGAATAGCCCTCGCCAGCCGAATGAGGAGCTCCAAAAGTTCCCAGACTCTGATTCACGTCCTCAGCCACCGAGGAGACCTTCTACTAGTATACAAGGCTCCGGAAATCGACCTTTCATAGATGATTTGCATAGATCACTCTCGACTAGAGACAAAGCTAGAGATGACATACCACCTCCTAAACCACCTAGGAGGGCAGGAACGGAGGGTTTGCCACCTGCTGGTAGTAGGCCATGGGCACCTCCCGGAGCGGTCGGATTAGTTGGGCTGTCTAAGGACGAACGTCCAGTGCTGCCGGCTCGCAAACCAGTGAGTCAGCGTCCGACGCCACCTCCGACTAAGCAGCCGAATGGGGAAACACAGACGGTAGACCTGTTGGGTGACGATACGAACAATGAGATGGGTGGTTGGGAGACCTTGAAACCAACTTGAACTACGACCGATTTGCTCTGATGCGTAGAGAGAAAATTGTGGTAAGCATTGGCGTATGGAGTTCAGGTCAGGATAAACTACACGACCCTCAAAAGTTGGTCAAGTTAAAGCTACAAACTATGATGTACGCATATTCATTATATTAAATTAGTGCATCTTGTCGTGTTCCTTCTGCTTGATTTGCAACAATGCTCGGTGCTCCTGATACCGCTTATAATGAACGCTCCTAAATGTGCGTGAGATGCCTGCACGGTACCGGATGTCCGAGGATCGACCTTGATACATCCACCACGGTGCAGCCTTTTTTTGGCAGTCCATGCTACTACATGCATTGTCTAGGACCATCTCACTGGTCTTGTCTTACCTCACGGGACATGTGTGCGACCTTTAGCCATGTTCGGTCTCAGCCCTGTCATATTTCTTCGCTGACACTTTGATCATGATAATTGACAGTCTTGACAACCTAACCAGGCATAGCGTATTGCTGTTTATCGGCAGAACATCCTGCGAGTCATTAAGAAACCCCAGAGTCTTGTCAATATCGACAGCGCTTTCCCCAGAGCCGGCGCCGTTGTGCACTGCGGTTTAGACTTTTCTGGATCAGCAGGAAGGCACGTTAGGTGGGACTTAGCCGAGTGGCGAATGACGGGTTGAGCCGCCTCCTGGGCATTGTTACTGTCGCTGGAGCTCTGCATCGACTGCTTTGCTCGACTTGGCCTTTCAAACCTTAAACCTTCACATGCTTGACAATCCCGGCTGGTGATCATCAGACCACATAATCCTTGCGACGGCACGGGACGGCACTGGTCCCGGTGTGCCTCTGCGTCTGCTTCTCTGCTCTACTACGAATGTAAGACTCTCTCTCACGTGTCGGTCCGTGGCGTGACATATCGATATCAAGAGAGGGTCTTGGCTAGCGGAGGAAGCTCAATCGCCCGTCTCGCTGAATCGGTCAGAAGCGCTCTGGTTCTGCTTTATTTGTCGGATTGGTCACTCCCCCATGACGCTCATCACCGGCCCATCCATCTCAACGCCGGCGACGGTGGCGGTGGCCCCGCAGTCCCAGCCGCTACCACCCCGGGCTCCCGTCCCGGCCCCGGACGCCTGGCCCGGCTCGAGCAAGGATAAGATCCAGCGCAAGATCCAGGCCATCAACACCTGGCGGACCGAGGTGGCCTCGCACGACGACGTCATCACCTGCGCGTGCTCGAACGGCTTCTTTTCTCCGGGGGACGGCTGGATCGCCACGGCCGTGGCCAAGGGGACCGAGATCCCGCGCAGCCGGCCGCTGTCCTGCGAGGTGTGCCGGCGCCCGACATCTTCTTCTGCCGCCGACGACTCGAGCAATGCCAACGGCTGCGCCAAGTCAAAGGGGCCATCGTCCAAGACAGGGCGGAGCAGCGGCG